ATCATGTTTTAATGTTTTTCCCTCATCAAAGCAAACATGGAGTTGTTTAATGTTAGAGAAATCCTTTCATCTCCATGGTAACCATTCAGCTGCTAAATGCCTGGGTGGACCTAGCCCCGCCTCCGAGACGCAGCTCCTCCCCCATTCAGCTCCTTCAGACTAGCCAGCAGAAATTAGCAAACAGCTCATTGTAGGAGCTGCTGCTGAGAGCAGCGCTGGTAAAAACGTTAAAGGGTTAATAGAGGAGCCATGTTGGGACGACTTCCTGGAGACGGAGCTTCAGGAAGAGCAGGAGCTTCTTAAAGAGACAGAGGCCCAATTTCAAGATGATAATTACAAAGACAAATGTTATTTTAAGTCATATTTGATATACAAAACTTTTTGTTCTCCATTCTGATCAGTTCTGGGACCAAAGGTGTGGAATCCAGTGGTTTACTGCATTATTACTGAAAATGTAGACAAAATGCCTCACTTTGTTTTATTATTTAGCTCAACATTTTTCTAAATCATATTTGATATATATAGTTTTTATATAACAACTGAAAGTAACATAACACCTTAGTTCTGCAGTAAAGTGGCCCTATGTGGCTGGAAGACACACAGTACCGGCCCTTTAAGGCTGAGGAAGATGGAGGAGTTTGTTTGTGTTTCAGATGGTCGCCATGGGAGGCCTTGCCGCTCTGTGCCTGCTGCTGATGTTTCCGCCCAGCAGCTCTCAGGTCACCCTGCAGTCTGAGAGGAAGATGAGCCCGGCTCTTCCTCCCCCGCCTCCTCACATCCGGGACCTCCTCGTCCAGGACGACGCAGCTCATCTCAACGCTAAGAGGACGTGTAAGTTCCCGGGACTCTGATTTTGGCTCCAGTGGATTTAAAGCTGCAGTAACTCTTATAAATCAAATGTCTCCATGTTGGCAGTTTGTTTTGAGACAGAAATTCACCAAAAACAACCAATCAGAGCCAGGAGGAGGAGCTTAACGCTGCCAATCATCCTCATGTACCAACTGCTGTATGCGCTAATGGCAGAGAAGCAACTTACAGAAAAATTGTTTATCATCTGTCATTGGTGGCTTTGCTAACTAGCATTAGCATTTACAAAGGGCTGTGGAGGGTGATTGACAGCGCTAAGCCCCGCCTCCTGGCTCTGATTGGTTGTTTCTAGTCAGTAATTGAAAAACAAAAGGAGCTTGTGTTTTTTGTTATCAAACCATCATGGCATCATGATGAAAACGATTTTAATAAAAGTTACGTACTGCAGCTGTAACGTTTTCCTGCTGGTTCTGATCCAGATGCTCCCGTAGACAAAGACAACGCCAAGATTTTCCTTTTCATCGCCGCGTCAGTCGGGACTGTCGCTCTGATGGCTGCAGTTTACTGCATCTACAACAACTTCTACACCAAACAGCAGTACCTGCACGCGCAGCTGCAGGACGACCCAGGTCTGCCCGCCACACGCCTGAGCAAAACTCTCCTGCTTCTGTCACATTTGCTTTTCCTTTATTATTCTTGTTCCTCCAATCAGAACCGAGTCATCCCGTCCAGGGTCGGTTCAGGAGGATCTGGGGCCCGGGGCAGGAGACAGGTTTGGGCCCCGATACACACAAGTTTAGAAAAATTAACATTTTTAATTTTTCTAAACTTGTTTCCCTGTTTAAAATATGATGGAGCATTACAGGGCCAGGCTAAGAAAAAGATTAAATTATGGGACTAAAATGATGGGAATAAATTTGTACTTTATTTGTACATTATAATGACTTTTATCATTTATTTTTTTACTTTAATTTTGTACAATTTTATTCTCGCATTATTAGAACTTTATTCTAACAGAAAGTCTTTGTTATGATTAATTTATTTTTGTATTACAGCTTCATTCTCATATCATTGCAACTTTTTCCACACATAATTTAAACTTTGTTCTGGTAATATTATGACCTCATTCTCAAATTATTACAACTTTATTCTGTTATGTGACTTTTTGTTGCATTATTACTTTATTCTTGTTGAACTTTATTTGCTCATTATTGCAAGTTTTCTTGTGGTATTATTATGATTTTTATGTTGTATTATCGCAAAGTTTGTCTGTTAATATTAAGACTATTGTCGTAGACTTTCAGCTGATTTTCTGACCTCCCGCCTGCAGAGGGCACCGCAGACGCCCTGGACGCTCCCGGGTTTTTCCACGGCCCCGCTGCTGACTCGTCCTCCATGAGTTTGCAGAAATCGGGCTACGGTTCGCTGGCGGACACGCCGTCCATCATCTCCATGGCGCCCAGCCTGTCGCCGCCTCCAGCCGCCATGCCGTTCCCGCCGCTCTTCCTCTCCTCGCGCTCCCTGAGAACCATATCGGCTCAGGATCTGGAGAAGAGCTGCATCTGAAGCACAAGCTGCACAAGCTGCACAGGCCGCTGTATGGAGCTCCAATAGGGCCATACAGTTTGTTCAAAGAAAAAAAAAATTAGCTAAAAAAAAAGATCTGAAACTGAAAAACTTGGATCTGAAAAGTAGTTTTGAACTTCCTATTTCAGTTTTAAACTTTTTTTTTTTAGTTTCAAATTATTTTTCTGTTTCAAATCTTTTTCAATTTTAATTTTCTTCTTTAGTTTTTCACTTTCAATTTTTTTTCATTTTCTTAATTATGTTTGTGTCACAATAATAATTTATTATTTTTAGTCTCAATTTTTGTTTTAGTTTCAAGTTTTTTGGGTTGTAATTATTTTTACTTTTGAACAAACTTTATGGCTCTGTTTTAGCTCCATACGGCTGTGCTTTCTATTTCATTCTCTGTCCATCCCTAGCTGTATGAACCACGACCCCAGTGACCTCTGACCCCTCTCCACCAGCTCCAGTGTGAGAAGTTTTGTCAGTTTATGTAAAATCAGCAGCTTCCTGTTCAGTAGGAAATAAAAGCCTCAAACGAACCATTGCTGTGGTTTATCGTTTTCCGTCAGTCTGGGAATTCAGTCTCTCATGACTTCGTTCCAGGAAATAAAATGGATAAATCAGAAATATGAAAGCCCCAGATAAGCTGAGCCTGAAGTTTAATGTTGTTTTTGTTGAAGACGGTTTTCATTCTGGAGCCATTAAAGGTAATTTTCTCTCAGATTAAACCACCTGTGGCCACGAAGCTGCAGGTTCAGACCAACGGCGCCTTGAAGGGAAACTGATTTCTATAATCCTGGATTTTTTAGCTGTTTGAACAAATATTTTAAATAAATCTCTTTTTTATCTGATTGCTAAAAGTCATAAATTATTTTGATACTTTTGTTTAAATAGTTGATGAGTCAACTTGATCCAAACTGGGGAGAAACCAGTTAACCAAACCGCTTTTGGACTGGAGGAGCTGGAACTATTTACAGTTTATTTTTAAAGTGGCAGAATCATCAAAAATCTACTTTTTTATCTTCCCATAATGTTTTCATGTTTTTCCCTGCAGTGTTGCTTTGATTCCTTCATGTTTGACAAATCCTTTCATCTCCATGGCAACCATTCAGCTGTCCAAAGAGCCTATTTGGACCTAGCCCCGCCTCCAAGGCGCAGCTTCTCCCCCATTCAGCTCCTTCAGACTAGCCAGCAGAAATTAGCAAACAGCTCATTGTAGGAGCTGCTGCTCAGAGCAACGCTGGAAAAAACGTTAAAGGGTTAATAGAGGAGCCATGTTGGGACGACTTCCTGGAGGAGGAGCTTCAGGAAGAGCAGAAGTAAGAAGACAGACGCCCAATTAATAAATCAGGTCATATTTGATATTTTCAGCATTTTTATAACAACTGAAGGTCACATATTTACTGGCTGTGCTACAAAATGACACTATGTGTCTGGAAAACGCATGACACTGGCCCTTTAAGAAGATAATCATTGAAAGATAACATTTAACACTCCTATGTTTGAGATGAACAATTTTTTTACTTTTCAAACTAAGAAAAGGTTTTGTCTAGAAAATTCTGAGATTTTTCTAGCAATTATTCGACTTTTCAAATTTAGATATTTCCATTTTGTTCTACAATTTTTTTCTATTAAATTAAACTGAAATTTATGAGGTTTTTTTGCAGTTCTTTCCCTTTTGGAGCTCAGATTTTTTTTTCTGGAAAATTTCTGAGAATAATCCTAAAATGTTTGAGATTTTTGCTGGAAATGTACTCCTTTTTTATATGCACACAGTAATTTTATTATGTCGTCATAGAAACAAATTCTAACAATTAGATAATTTTACTTAACTAAAAGTAAAATGTAGCCGTCCAAGAATTAAAAAAAGCATTTGGTACAAAGTTTACTGATCAAATAATGAATCATTTAATATTGACAAATTACATCATCAGACGGACCAAAATATAAAGTTATAAAGTGGAGATTTTAATATTTTAAGGACCAAAATTAGAATAATTTATAAAAATAGCAAAATAACAAAATCAGCAAAAAGAAAATGTTTCAAATCAGTTTCAATAAAAAACTGATGAAACTTTAACAGAATCTGCAGCTGCGTGTGTCACGATCCGTGTTTCTGTTTATTTTTGAGATTTTCTGTGTTCAGTCTCTGTCCTCCCCGTTGATTGTTTCCCAGGTGTGTCTCATCCCCTTGATTACCCCGTGTGTATTTAAACCCACCTGTTGTCCTTGTCTCTCGTCGGAATCCAGGTAACACGTCAAGTGTTACCTGGATTCCTTGTGCCGTCTGATGTTCTTCGTGCTGTTGCTCTGTTTACCTGGATTATCACCATTAAACTCTTCATCTTCACCTTCAACCTGGGTCTACCTGCGTCCCTATCCTCACCACAACAAACCACATCATGACAGAGTGTCTGTCTGGTGAGTTTTGGTTAAAACATGTTTGATTTTCATTCAGTGTAATTAAATCCAGATTTACTCAAGAGAATAAATACTTCAGAATAAAATTACTCACGTAAAAGTGAAAAGTACAACGTAAAATACTCCAAAAAGTAATTTTTTCAAAAAGGTTACTCAAGTAAATATAGTTACTCCCCAACTCTGTCAATTTGTGATTTATATAAATAATAAAGTTGTAGTAAACACTTCACGTCATGCGTTTTAACGCAGTTTAAAGTTGATTCTTGGACGCATAAAAAGCGCAAACCTTCCGGAGAGCATCCCGCAGTTCCCGCCCGGTGAGTCCTGCGTGCCCCGGTCCGGGTCCACTCCCTCCATTCACGGCCGCTGCGCGCCCAGAATAGCCCGGCTCGGCTGAAAAAAGCCGGAGCGCCGGGAGGAAGTGACATGCTCTCCTCCACTACTCACTGCTGGAGATTAGCGCGCAGGCAGCTGTAATCTGCTTCAGCACCGCGGCCACAGACGCCGCCTGGCCATGAATCCTCCCCAAAGTTCCCTGGAAGGGAACCGCCGCGGACCCAAACCTCATTAAAACAAGTTCGTGTGGATACGGAAGCAAAAGTTCGGCTGGAAATGTATTTATGATTATTAGAAACCAGAAAATCCCGGGACAGCTGCCTCAGATTTGGGAGCTTGAAGGAATCTGATGATCAGGTGAATAGAAGCAGATTTTTTTAAGGAAGCAGAGGAGAAGGCTGTGCGCTCGGAACCGGACCGGACCGTGAGGATGGAGATCCGGCCGGACAGGTTCAAAGCTGTGGCAGCGAAGACTCTGGGGAAGATTTACGGGTAGGTCGATCCTCTGAATGCATAAGGCGAAAACCGAAGTTATCGCGATCCGCCGCAGGGCCGGTCCGATGTGGCGGCGCCCCTGGGCGGAGTATTACCTGGGGGCGCCACGTTCTCCTTTACAGGATTTTACATTTAAACAAGTAGCTGGGTTAAAGAGGTAATTTAGAGCATTTTATTGTCATAAAGGTAACTATGAATATTAATCATTAATTCATCATGTAAATGACAGATTTAGCCAGAGTGACTAACTTTCTACTTTGTTTTTTTTTTTTTTTAATATTTTTTATATTTAATTTCCATATTCGTTCTGAAAACTTTCATTCAGAGATTTATTTATCCTTTCCTGTTCTGGTATTGATACATTTTAGCTGCTTTTTGATGCATTTGTGTTTTGTAACCTTTAAAACAAAAAAGGCAGGAGATCCAACTTGATTTGTTGCAAATAATCAAATTAAGGTTATCCTAGTAAATATCTTGCGTTTATTAAGTTGTCGTGTTAAAGAAACGTAAATTAAGTTTGACATGCAAAAAATTATATATTTTTTTTTTTTAGTTGGAGCGCCGTTCTCTTTTTTTTTTCAGTGTAATGTTTCATGATTTTCCCACCTCAGATTTGTAATTATTACCTTTAATTTGTCACCTTTGGTCAAACTTGTGCTCGTCTGACTGAATCCAATCTCTCAAACTGTGCTTTGCCTCTGGTCTGACCGATGAGAGCAGTGAAGGAGATCAGGATGTCCTCAGGCCTGGATTATCTGACACATCTGCATTTATGCTGCGACTCCAGAACTTTCTGGTCCATTCTGAGCGTTGAAACCCAAACTGAAGCTCCAATCTGCAGGTTGGAGTAAAATTAGCCGCCGCCGCCTCTTCCTGGGATCCAGGAACAGAATCTGGTTTCATCGTAGGCAGAAATGTCCTTTCAGGGAAAGATGAAACGTCGGATCGATTTTTGGATCAATTTCTGCTGCTTTATGCCGCAGCAGGTTTATCACACAAATTGATCATATTTCAGTTAAAACTCAGAATGTTTAGGTTTGGATTAATACATAAACTTCAGGGATTGTGCTGCAGATTTAATGACAGATTATGACTAAAGGCAGCAGAAATCTGACACGGAGTCATAAAAGGCTAAAGGGACTTCTCTGTAAAAACCTCAACACTTGCACTGTAAAAAATGTTGCTTCCTGTGAAAATTAGACGTTTCAACGGCACTAAAAATATGTAAGAAGTTTCAGTGATTGAAGTCACAGCTGAATTACATCAATCATCTGTTAAATCTACAGAAATAAGTTTTAATTTTGTGTAAAAACTACAGCACAAAGTGACATGAATGTTTAGTATTTTAAAAAGATTTTCTGGTATTTGAATGAAACTTTAACGGAATTGTTTTGTTATGACTATTACAATATTTTCCTGTTTTTTTTTACCACCATTTGTAGCTTTCAGAAATTGATTATATTCACATATTGTTGCTGTGAAACATCTTAAAATATTTATCTATTTTGGGGGCACAAGTGTTTTTATTTTCTTCAATAAATTGTAAATGTACACACCAACTAGTGCATAGAAACGGAGGTATCTTATTTTTAAAAAATTTCCAGTTACTGACTGATTTTCATTTGTTTTGTTTTTCTGTAATATTCTTTGTTTTGATTAATCTAGGGCCACTGATATTTGTATTGGGAAAGAGAGGGAGAAATAAAGAGAAAAAACATACGCCAGACTTCAGAATAACTAAAGAACGTTTTGTAATTTTATTAATGGCTTTTCTCATTTCCTCCCAAAAACATTCACATTATGATAGTTTTCTGCTGTGATTCTACATCGTTTTAATGTAAACTCCGGGGTCATTTTTTACAGTGTAGGGGTAAAGGGGAGAAGTCCGGAGCATTTTCAGGAATCTGAGCGCATGGAGGTTATCGATGGACTCGCCTTTCTCCCTCCTGGGATTTGATGCAGCGTCTCAACTCTTAAATCCTCTCCAGAAATAGCCTCTCCTCTCCAAGCTGTCGGCCTGCGTAAATCCCCGCAGGATGTACACCTGGGCCGATCTCTGTCTCTCCCGGCGGCCCCTCCCTCCGCGGGACGCCCAACTACCGGGATTAGTCCTCTCCATTAAACGGCAGCAGGCTGTAAGCAGTCACTTCCGCCCGGCGCACGTGCGCCCAGGTGCGCCGCGTAACGCGCGTGGGAGGCTGCTGGTCAGGCGGTCCGGTTGGGACTTCCTGGTTTGGACCAAATCCCGCCAGGCGTCGCTCTGTGTCAATGATTCAAAACTGATCATCCGACTCGGAGTACAGTAACTAGTCACATTTACTCGGTTACATTTATACATGAGTAACGTTTTGGGAAAAAAAACAACTTTTAGGAGTAATTTTACTACGTTTTACTTTTACTCAAGTAATTTTATTATGAAGTAATAAAATTCCAATAATGATTTAACAGTAAAGTAAAAACTATACTATAAATAATCATTACTTTTACTCAAGTAAAATTTCTAGATGCCTACTGTGAAAAACTTCACTGAATGAATATTTGTCTTGTTTTAACCAAAGAATCACCAAACAGTCACACACACACACACCTGCAGCTTCTGTTAGTTTTATTTTGAAAGAAACTGATTTGTAAAAAAGTTTCTTTTGCCTGATTTTCTTATTTTGCCATTTGTATCGATTGTTTTCATTTTTGTCATTAAAATACTCGCATTTCCACATAACTTTATATTTCGGTCTGTTTAATGACGCAATTTTTAAGTATTTAATTTTGATCAGTTAAGCCTACTAAGTGTTTGAGTTTTTACCAAATACTTTCTTTACTCTTGAGTAATTTATTGGACGGATAAGTTTTATATTTGAGTAAAACATGTTGAAGTAGCGACGCTACTTTGGTACCTCCGGATGTTTGAACCAACCTGCACCGGAAGTGGTTCTGCTGTCTTTAGCGTCATCGCCTCTGACCCTGATTCTCGGTTCTGGTTCGGGTCTGAACGACAGAACTGCGCAGCTCGGGCTCCGTTCTTCAGGTGTGACATCCAGCAGGTCAGGTGGCTTTCAGGGATTACAGCGGATTTTCCTGAAAGGTCAGCGATGAACAGTCGCCGCAGATTAGCTTCATGCTAACAAATATGGCGCCTAGGAGAAAATATCCAAACACATTGAATGTCTGTTCTCTCAAACTGCGAATATTTTATTGGCGATTTATGTTGTGCTGTGTGATAATTGTGAAAGGGAAGGAAATTGTTTCAAAGTGATTTTATTGATTAACAAAATTTTCTGTTTTATAATCTTCGGAAAATATGGATTTCTTTTTCACTTCCTTGTTTCAGAGTGATTTCAGCCGCCGAAGTGATCCGCCATTTTGTTTTCCAGCGTGTATTTATTTAATTTGGTTTATTTTTCAATCAACATGAATACATCACATAAACATGTCAGGTTTTGCCAGAGGCTAATTTTCATCTGTAGTTTCCTACCATGTTGATGGAAGAGATGGAAAAAAAAAAAAAATTAATGAACATGAATGACGACATAAGTCATCTATGATAGTTTTTATTGCATAGATAAAATTGTGTAATTTACAGTTAAACTTGATCATAAAAACAAATCTAAATGATACAAAAAAATGCTAAAACTGTTCATTTAAAAGTTAAGTTAAAAATATGAATAGAATTGTGATTATCTAGTAACCATTGCTTAAGCGGTGTCCTAAAACAGTTAGTTTTTTTAAAACAGTTTTTATTTTTAATGGTAGTGTTTTTTAATTCAGGTAGAGTCCCAGATGGGTTGATTAAAATAAAAGCATTTTTTAAAACGAATATTTTCTGTCATTTGTAATAAAAGCGAGAAAAACCCAAATCAATTAAAATTGGAAATCAGATTTAATCTGATATTTCATTTTTAAATATGAATCCAACATGTAACAAATTAATAAAATGAGGCATAAAATTATGTCGTTCAGTCAGAAATTTGCACATTTACTAAGCGTTATAAAAGTTCTGCACTTCATGCAAAATAACAGTTTGTTTATGGCATCGTTTATTATTGATTCAGACTAATGCTTCAAACGAAAAGTGCTGACCCAGGCAAGCTGAGAACAGATAGAAGTTAAATTTATTTATTTAAGAATATTACCTGGTTTTATTTTCTTCTACATTACAATGTTTCACTGTAACTGATGGTCTGTTTGATAGAGGCAGAAAAATGTGAAGTAATATGACAATAAGGTGAATATTTGTGGTGGAAACAGACCAGGAAGTGATTGTTGGAGAGAGAGATGCTCTGTGGATTGTTGGTGGTAAAGCCGGGTGAAGATGAGGAGGAGGCAGGAAGGAGGAAGAGGGACCCGCCCGGACAAAAATAGACTGAGTGAGCCAGAGATAGCCTATTAATAATTTAACATGGAGAATCATCAATACTTCATCACCGCTGAGGATTGTTGCAACCTTTAAGCACACTCAAAGTAACTCTGCATTATGATTGCAAGGCTTTTATTTCTCCCTGTTTCATGAGTTGATTGAAAAGATATGACATTTCGTTTTTACAGCGTCTTCAGACAGAAAAACTAAAACCAGCATCATGACAGACGCCTTCAGCCATTAGAGCGTAAAACAAAATGCAGGCCTCAAAAATATTTAGCTAGGAATAAATAAAATAAATTTTTCAGTGTAGTTTATATATGTATTTGACTCCAAAATAAATCAGGTGGATAACTTTGATTAAATGGAACAGAAAATGACTCGTATATAGTTGATAAAAATAATTAATTTTTGAACACAAAGATGGAACCAAGAGAAATAACAGAGATACAGAGGCACCCCAGAAAATCTTAAACTTTCAAGGGACAAAACTAAAAAACAAAAGGTGATATTTTATTAATTCATTTATTCATGCATTGGGTTTTATTTATTTTTTTGTCTTTATTGAAGATGATGCCTTTCTATGACAAGAACATGTTTCTCTTGGGAGAGAGACGTTTTTCACGTAGGGGCCGTGGCCCCCTCTGCTCCCTCTTTTGGAGCTGCCACTGTTGTCAGTGGAACATAAAAATCTTTAAAATGAAAACTAGAGATCAGGGGAAAATCTAAAACTAAATGAAAACAGGAACCTGAAGGCTCCAGCTGGAGGCATCAAGTGGAGGATCTGACAAAGAGCAGGCTAACTGAGAGAGCGGTTAGAGCTGGGGAGGGTGATTACAGGTCCTCAAGTGAGGGGATGGGAGAACAAAATGGCCGAAAATACAAATTCCTGTCTATTAATGACTTTACTACAGTCGTCTAGTAACTAGAACCACAAACATCGACCCAGTTTTACTGAGAGGCAAAACAGATAATCCACCCAAAACGTCACGTAAAACCTTTTTATGTTTGTATCTACAATAATATAAAATGTTACTTTAGTTTGTTATTGAGCTGATAAACTTTAAAAAAGGCAGAAAAACGTAGTTTTAAAATATTTTTGCGGCCCCTCTGCACTTTCAACGTATCGATTTTGTCCCTGATGTTTGGACATCATTTCCTGAAAGAGTCCAATAACATCTAATTAGATTGTCACCATTACTGCCCGTTTAATGTGGAACCAATTACCAGTTTTATGGCGTGGTTACTTTTTCACACAATGCCAGGCCACTTTATAAATAAAATGATTTTTAAACAGATTTTTCCTTTCTGGTGTATCTGGTGTTAAAATTAGTTGATCTGAAACATTAAAAAAGCAAAAAAATTGCAAGTAAAATCGTTTTCATGCCACAGTTTGTTGTTCATATTGGAAGTGATATGAAGAGGTTTCTGCTCAGTGTTTCACATGTCATGGTTCATTTATGGCTCCTTGGATACATATTTGATGTCTTTCAGACGGGAGGCAGAAAAAGGTCAGAGCTTCTCAGGAAACGTGAAGAAGAGGAGAAACATGTTGGTGTTAAACTCTGCAGTTACCAACACCTTCTCTGGCGTTAGGAGCCGGTTCTGTCAGGAGACAAATGTGTGCAAAGCAAAAACCAAAATATATCAACACCTCCAGGAGAAGTAAGAAACAAACGCTGGTGTTTCCCTGGTGAGGCTCAGAATATCCACTCAGCCTGACAGAAAACATCTGGCGTCCAGACGGTTTCTAAGCAGCCAGCAGATAAACGCTGCATGCTGGGAAAACATCAGATTCTCTGGAAGACAGTGGTGGGCGTGGCTAACAAAGCGCTAGCTACGCTACCCCTGAAGCACTAGTCATGAACATTAGCAACGCTAACGTTAAAGTGCTACACCAACACAGTGCTTAGCGGAAGCTAATGCTAAAGTGCTAACTTCAATTCGGGTTATATCAGACTGCAGCCCGAAGCTCCAGTTTTCATCTTGGAATTATAATTTAATCTGACATGTTGGAGTCATTATAGATTAAAAAAATTAAAACATTTCTGCCAAAACAAAATTACTGCCAAATGTATTTCTGAGATTAATCTCAAAATTTCTGGGATTTTTTTCTAGCATGTTTTTTCATCACTTTTCAAACTCGTACATTTTTGAGGGTTTTTGTAGGAAATTTCTGAGATGAATCCCAAAATTAACATTTCCTTTTATGTTTATTCCAATTTTTTCTTTCTTCCTCTGTTAGATACTTTATTTATGTTTACATCTTGTTCTGAACTGTGCAGGTCTTATTTTGTTGTTTGTTATAAAGTTATTTTAAAAGAGAGAAAAAGAGGAGAGGAAAAGGAAGTGCTGCATAAGTGGCCTAAAGTCACTTCAAAATAAAAGCCTTAATGTTAAATGTTTAACTCCAAGTAAAATTTAACTTGAGTTACTTTGGTTAAATTCTAATAATATGGTAAATAGTCTTTTTTTCAGTTTCTTATAAAATCAGAAGTTTTAGTAAAATTTGGGCTGGTGTTTGTTTTACTGTTTGATAAAATCCAAGATGGAGAATGTTTAGCTAACTGTTGCTATAGTTACATTCAACTTTATTCAATTGAAAGTTTAGAAAACAGCCGAGTAAATTATCACTTTAGAAAATAATTTGGGCAGAGTCGGGTAGCAGCTAATTATATTTACTCGGTTACATTTATTTAAGTAGCTTTTTATAAAAAAACAAAAAAGTCCTTTTCGGAGTATTTTTACTACACTGAACTTTTTACTTTTACTCGAGTAATTTCATTATGAAGTATTTTTTTTCTTTCTTGAGTGAAACTTCTGGGTTTTCTTCCCACTGAATGAAAACCAAACATGTTTTAACCACCAGACTCGCCTGCAGCTTCTGTCCAAGTTTCTGAAGTTTTTATTGAAGCTGATTTGGAAAAATAATTTTTTGCCTCATTTTGTTATGTTTGTTACTTATGAATTAATTTTTTTCTGGTTGTTAAAATACCAAAATTTCCTCTTAACTTTATATTTCGGTCCGTCTGATGATGTCATTTTTAAATGATTGATAATTTGATCAGTTACTCAACTGATCAGTTACTCAGACTTTTTACCAAATACTTTCTTACTCCTGAACCATTTCTGCTTTTTCTGCTGAGTAAAAATAAATAGTTCTTCTTTTACTCGAGTGTACTTTCTGGAAATCTGCTCACCTCTGAATTGAGGGAAGCTAAGTACGCTAAGCATTTTCAAGGTTAGCAAAACCGCTAACAATTAGCTCTGCTGTTAGCGCGTTAGCAGAACATTAAAATCTGGACTCTGTTGTTCTAACAGAGGCGATTCTATAAATTTCCTGCAGCTGAAATGTGGAGTTCTGCGTTTTGTTGCCGTATGAAGGAAACGTCTCTCGTTGCTGCAGGGCGCTAGAGAAGAAGCAGGAAAATGGCGAAACCATCGAGCTGTCGGCGGAGGGCCGGCCGGAGCTGGTGCAGGAGAAGGAGATGCCGGTGGTGGACTGCACCTGCTTCGGCCTGCCCCGCCGCTACATCATCGCCATCCTGTCCGGGATTGGCTTCTGCATCTCGTTCGGCATCAGGTGCAACCTGGGCGTGGCCATCGTTAGCATGGTCAACAGCCACACCGTCTTCAGGGACAACAAGGAGGTCATCGTGGTGAGTCAGAGCTGCACCTCCTCTGGGCTTCCCCTCAGAACCACTGCTGTGTTGTGGCCCAATCACATTTCTGCAATGGAGCCGTTTGATTAGTTTTTTCTCAGAAAGGAAAAAAACAACTAAAATTAATTCTCATTTCTAAACCAGGTTTCATCTTATTTTTGTAGTAAGTAGAACGACAAATATCAGCTTTAATTCAGCAAGAGCAACTTCCTGTTGCCAGGTTTGCATTAAAAAACTAAAACCAGAAAACTGTATACTACACTGCAAAAACACAAAATATTACCAAGTATTTTTGATCTAGTTTCTGGTGCAAATATCTCAATATCTTTAAAATAAAACTAACTTACAATTACCTTTTCAGAAATATAAATAAACTTATCTTAAATCAGTAGTCCCTTAATGTTGATGAAAAGGTTCCAGTTCCTTTGACAGATTATTTCACCAGTGGGGAAAAATGTTTTGAAATAATCTGGCAATGGAATAAGTTTTAAAATCAATATGAAGGAATATTGTCACATTCATTTTTGTCCTTAAAATCCCCAAATTTTAAGGACAAAATTTGGGTATTTTGTCCTTTTGTTGTTTATCTTCACTGGGTTCAGTTTGGAAACCCCTGAGGAAGAGTGAAGACAAACAATGATCACAAAATTTAAGAAATCCAACAACAAAAGAGATGCAGTACTGCTGAACGGACAGCAGGTGTCACTGTTGCGCCACTTTAGATGTTTTACTTTATTTCTGTTGCTGATTTCACCTGAGCTCAGCTTCATCACACCGTTATTCATGGCATGAAGCTTTAAGATTGAATATTAGTTCATGTGAGCGTGATGCGTTTGTGTCCCCTCAGTAAATGTGAGCGTGATGCGTTTGTGTCCCCTCAGTAAATGTGAGCGTGATGCGTTTGTGTCCCCTCAGAAAGCTCAGTTCAGCTGGGATCCAGAGACAGTGGGGATGATCCACGGCTCCTTCTTCTGGGGTTACATCGTCACCCAGATCCCTGGAGGTTTCATCTGTCAGAAGTTCGCAGCGAACAGGTCAGCTAATCCTCCTGATGTTCACATTTCCGGGTGTTTTCCCCCTGACCTTTGACCTCTGTGTGCCTCTGCAGGGTGTTTGGCTTCGCCATCGTCGCCACTTCCTGCCTGAACATGCTGATCCCCACGGCGGCGCGGATGCACTTCGGCTGCGTCATCATAGTGAGGATCTGTCAGGGCCTGGTGGAGGTACGGGGAAACATTCTGCTCCAGAAAGTGTCCAAACCGTTTAAACGCAGAACTCTGTGTCACTTCACAACCTGAAGCTTTAACGATGTTTACTGGAGCCGAGGAGTGAAAAATAAAAACAAAATGTGACTTCAGAGTTTTTTAGATGTAAAAATATAAAAATGTGATTTGTTAATTTATCCCCCTTTACTCTGAAACCCTGAAATAACATCTAGAACAGGAGGCAGGAAATAAGTGTTAACTCTATTTGAAGGGGTGTGAATAAGACTGACATCACACTGTTATGAACATGAACGAGTCTTTATGAATGTTTATGACAGATGTCATGAAGTGTCCTTCGGTAAATAATGACACTTTTAATGCAAAGTTGCTCTAAAAGTTGCATTAAAAGTCCATTAAAAATGCAAACTTTGCATTAAATTATCATAATTTACAAAATCATGCAAAGTTTGCATTTTTAATGGATTTTTAATGCAACTTTTAGAGCAACTTTGCATTAAAAGTGTCATTATTTACTGAATGACACTTCATGACAACAGTCAAACATTCATAAAGACTTTATGTTCATGACAGTGTGATGTTGAAGCACACCCCTTCAAATAAAGTGTTACCAAATACATTTTTATAAATATGTACCATATAAAGTTAACTGAAGATTACTTCTAATAAAATAAACCATCTATTACAAAAGAAAACAATGACTATAATGTAAGAACGAGTTGAGCGCTTTCCATAATTATAGAACTGAAGAAAGAGTCTGTAGTTAGTAACTTTTAAGAGCCTGTTGTACATATTATAAGCAGATTTTACATAAGAAAACTCCTTTTATAGCATGTGAGAGGGCTTGGCTGGGGTTGCTAGGTAACGGGAAGGGCTTGGCTGGGGTTGCTAGGTAACGGGCTGGGCTTGGCTGGGGTTGCTAGGTAACGGCACCAAGTGGAACTCGGAAATTTTTTCTCACTATTAAGGAATTATTTACATAAATGAAACTCATATCTTGCTGAAAAGTTAGTTTTCAGTTAGTTTTGTGATATTTCAAGGGAACGGAGATGTGTGTGTGTGTGTGTGTGTGTGTGTGTGTGTGTCTGTCTGTCTGCCTGTTGATGTGAAACGTTTGAAGTCCATCAAACTCTGGTTGTCATGTGACAAAGTGTGAAAGTGGAGAAGAGGTGTGAGGACTGTGGTGATTAACCAGCCGTCTCTGTGTCAGGGCGTCTCCTCCCCGGCCTGCCACGGCATCTGGGCCAAATGGGCCCCGCCGCTGGAACGGAGCCGCCTGGCCACGACGGCCTTCTGTGGTGCGTTCAGGGGCCGCCGTACATCACACTGCTGCTGCTTGCTGTTCAGCAGAATCATCACGATACATTTGTTACGATACACAGCTGTTGATTAAAACTGCTGCTGCTTTGGCATAAATGCTGCTGGACTGTAAACCGTCTCAGAAGTTATCACGATAAACGATAATATTGTTGTTTTTAGACCATTTTCCAGTAACATAATGTTAGAAAACGTCAAAGATCATTAAACTTTACATTCTAATGAAGATTTAACACTGGAACTGGAAATATTTTAAATATCCAAAATAAATAAACAAAGCAACAGAAACAACAAAATGAACTATGAAGTCACTGTAAACAAAATGATCTTTTAAAATCAGAGCTATTTGAGGCCAAAGCAGCTGAAAGAGGAAAACGATAAATCCTGCAAATGGAAATGATCGACTTTGTTTTCATTCATCATGTGGTTAACGTTCTTAATGCATGTCTGTGGTTCTGCAGGCTCTTATGCGGGCGCAGTGATCGCCATGCCGCTAGCTGGAATCCTGGTCCAGTACTCGGGATGGTCCTCCGTCTTCTACGTCTACGGTAAACGACCTTTGACCTCTGGCCTTCTCAGAAAACACAGAGAGAACCCTGTCTGCAGGATAAACACTGCGACAAAACTAAATCTTACAAAGTATTTTTGGTCTAGTTTCAATCTTGGTGCAAAGTAAGAAAAGTTCAAAGTAACTTTTCATCAAGATGGAGCAGCTTGTTTTATGTAAATATTTAATTACAATAGATTCTTTAGATTGTTTCTCTTCTATTAGCAGCTCATTAATGTTTTGGAAGCTGTGATGTTTTGCATAAATGTTCTCATGTTTCCTGAACACAAACTGACCTGTTTGTCTCGACCTTTGACCTCTGAACCCTGCAGGGACCTTTGGGGTCATGTGGTACTGCTTCTGGATCCTGGTTTCGTACGAGAGTCCGGCGGCTCACCCGACCATCACGGAGGAGGAGCGGACGTACATCGAGGAGAGCATCGGCGAGTCGGCCCAGCACACGGTGACGGTCAGTCACATCGTATTACTGCCATTTTTCTCCCATCATTATTACTTTTTCCTCATTTTATTATCATTTTTTACATTATTATGACTTTTTCTTATTATTACAAATTTATTCTTGTAACATTGTGACTTTATTGTATCATTTCAACATGACTCTGGTAATTTTCTGACTTTTTCCTCATTTCAACCTGCTGCTGTACGACTTTATTCTCAGTATTACGTCGTTTCTCATAATGTTCTGACTTTATTCTTGCAGGTTATTTTTTTCTTGGCCTGGCTTTAGTTCTCCGTCATAGAAAACAAATACACAACATAACATCAGTTCCTTCCAGCCATAAGCTTCATCATGAAGGTTTTCTTATTTCTTTTAAAACGGACTCAGATGTTTGTGTTGAGTCAGAAAACGGCAGCAGCTCCTCTGACAGATCTGTGAACTGCCCGTCTCTCTGTCAGCCCAAAGTTTCAGACTGACCACAGTTCCAGTTTCTGCTGGTCGTTGCGTCTGACTGTGAGAACTGTTGTCAGACGTTGAACCGCTGAGCGTTTTGGTGTTGCAGAAGTTCAACACTCCGTGGAAATCGTTCTTCACCTCCATGCCGGTCTACGCCATCATAGTGGCCAATTTCTGCCGCAGCTGGACCTTCTACCTGTTGCTCATCAGCCAGCCCGCCTACTTTGAGGAAGTGTTTGGCTTCGAAATCAGCAAGGTAATTCAGCCGGAGGTTCATCAACCACAGCGTTTATTTTAGGAGGCAGAAAAAACACAAAGCAGAGCAGGAAGTAGAAAAGAAACCAACTTTTTTTGGAGCTTAACGTCATAGAGCTTCACAAACTGTGTGTGAACATCAGTTATCAAGTGATTTCACAGATTTAGGCCTGGACTTTGACTAGGCCAACCAGCAGCCACAGTTTTGGCCAAAAAATCCAAGAGAATTGAGCAACATTTAAAAATGTCAAGCGAATGAAAAGGATGCTAGCTTTTTCAGTTTTGGTTTTTAATGCAATAAATTCCTAATATTTCCACAAAAGAATATTTTTTACATGAAAGAACTGATGCAGCAGAGAAGCCAACAGGAAGAAGCAGCTGTAAGGTTTCCTGACAGTTTGAGGAACAAGAAGCAAAGCCTGAAAATCCAGATAAACAAACAAGTGTTGAGTTGAAAAGGTTTTTTAAAGTTTGACGCCGTCTTTGAGTGGACTGACCTGCGCTTGTTGTCGATGCCTCCAGGTGGGAATACTTTCTGCTCTGCCTCACCTGGTGATGACCATCATCGTTCCCATCGGAGGCCAAATCGCCGACTACCTGCGCTCCAATCAGATCATGACCACCACAAACGTCAGGAAGATCATGAACTGTGGAGGTCAGAAGGAGGAGAAGCACAAAATCTGAACAAATATTTCTTTAGTTTTTAGTGCAAATATCTTAGTTTTGTTTCATTTCAAGTGAAAAACTTATAACTGTTAGCAAGACACAGCAGCTTATTTTGAATTAAAAGTTTCTTATTAAGTTTTAGTGGCAGATAATTTCACTTATGACAAGGGAAATGTCTTGTTACAAGTTAGATAATCTGCCAGTGGAACTTGAACATTTTCATCAATATTTAGAAATTATTAACTTAAGCTGCTGAATCTTGCTGAGCAGTTAGATGAGCTACTGAGATATTTGCACTAGAAAGCAGACCGAAAACACTTGGGCTGCTTGTCTTTGCAGAGCAGAAAGTCTGACCTGCATTAAGATCAGAGCAAATAAAAAAGTCATTTTCTGGATGTAAGTTTATGGATTTTATTCTGCCGACTCAGCAGACTGGCTGCGTTTTATCGTTTGGGTCTTTTTAAAGCACACACCCTCCAGTCAGCCTCATTACCAAGTTAAAGTTGTGTGAGCTGTGGTGTGAAAACACCAGGCCACATGAGGCAAACGATGACTAAGTGTTAGCAGAGGCTCTGCCTCGCTCAGCTATTTCTGCTCAGAGATGTTCATACTGGAGAAATGAGGAAGCAGAAACGGGCGCATCATGAGAGAACAGAGCAAAGCAAACAGTTTCCATATCAGTGAGCATTCAGGGCTGAAATGTCTGTCTGTTGTGACCTCTGACCTCTGGTCTGCACAGGGTTCGGGATGGAGGCCACCCTCCTGCTGGTGGTCGGCTTCTCGCACACGAAGGGCGTCGCCATCTCCTTCCTGGTTCTGGCGGTGGGATTCTCTGGGTTCGCCATTTCAGGTGGAGCTCGGTTCAGAGAAACGACCCAAAAACGACACGAGAGTAACGAGTTTCAGAGTCGGCACCGAGTGACTGATCACATTCACTCATCTAATATGCAAAAGTACATCATCAGGATGTAAAATTAAGTGGAAATTTTGGTATTTTAACAACCAAAATGACAATATAAGTAACAAAAATAACAAAATCAAGCAACAGAATCAGATCAAATAAACAAAATCTTCAGAAAAAAACTGATGAAACTTTAATAAAAGCTTCAGGTTTGAGTCTGTCTGGTGAGTTTTGGTTAAAACATGTTTGTTTTTCATTCTGTGGGAAGAAAATCCAGAAATTTTACTCAAGTAACAGAAGAAATACTTTATAATAAAATGATTCAATTAAGAGAAAAAAGTACATCGTAGTAAAAATACTCCGAAAATGAATTTAAAAAAAAAGTTACTCAAGTAAATGTAAGTTTTTACAACCTGACTCTGGTTTTAACATTTTAGCATAAATTTAATAAAATTTTAGTGTAATTTTGACGGCGTTTTATCGTCCTGTGAAGGTTTTAACGTCAACCACCTGGACATCGCGCCGCGATACGCCAGCATCCTCATGGGCATCTCCAACGGCGTGGGCACGCTGTCCGGCATGGTCTGCCCGCTGATCGTAGGCGCCATGACCAAGAACAAGGTGAAGCTCATCCGTCTTTCCTCTTGTTGATTGTTTGATTAACAGATTCAAGAAACGGATCAAAACATGTAACTGTGTTTATGATCCTAGCACCTTTCAGCAGCGCGTACATGGGGCTGGTTAACAGTGGTAAGCCCCGCCTCCTGGCTCTGATTGGTTGTTTTTGGTGCATTTCTTCAGGCAGCTCAGGGGAGAAGAGGACGTCGATCTTTTCACACATTCTGTGTCGGTTTTAACAAACGTAAAAAAACATTTTATAAAAGTGACAAACTGCAGTGACCCACCGCAAACCTGAAGCTGTGCAACCATTCTGGACAAAAAGCAAAGCATTTGTATATTTTATTATTGTGCTGCTGGAAAAGGAACCATTGAAATAAATGATTACAATCCTAAAAGGGAGAGAAATCCAGAACTACGGTGACTTTTTAAAAACTGAAGCTGTTTTTCTCTCTGCCTTTCCTGAAATGACATTTTTCTGTTGAGTTTGTGAATTAAAATGTTGCCGCAGCAGCAGCAGTTTGTTCTTGTTTTTTATCCACATCCATAAGTTAAACGAGGCCGAACTCTGAGGTGGATTAAAGTCTACAACAGTTTATGTCAATCAGTCTTACTTCTGCCCAGTGTGGGGATTTTTAAGTCCTCCTTTCTAATTGTTTTGTTTTCTGTATTCAGACGCGGGAGGAGTGGCAGGGTGTGTTTCTGATCGCCTCACTCGTTCATTATGGAGGGGTTGTATTTTATGGTGAGTCAAACTCGTCATTGTTCTCTGAAGTCTTCGTGCAAATTTTGTCAGAATGATTTCTGGGAAACATTTCCTGTTTCAGCATTATATATATTTATACACATTAGCTTGTTCAAATATAACCAAACCTCGGATTATGTTTATTCTCTCTTTACTTAAATCATTTCTGAATTTTCTTCAATGCTTTACACATTATTCTCGGTACTTTTACATGTAATGTCTTTAAATTTAAAATTATTACTTTGAAGAAAGTTGCATATATTTGATGTAACTGATTACATTCATGATTTTTAATGACTTATTGCGTGAACAGGCTTATTCATTCATGATTTTGATTTATATTTCCATTTAATAGAAACCCTCCTGTTGTGTTTTTTCGGCAATAGCAGGATGCAGATAAATATTTGCCTTTTTTTCTGTGCAGGTATTTTTGCCTCTGGGGAGAAGCAGCCGTGGGCCGAGCCGGAGGAGCTGAGCGTGGAGAAGTGCGGCATCCTGGACGAGGACGAGCTCGCCAACGAGACGGAGGAACTGTACCGCTCCAGCGGAGGAGCCGGCTACGGCGCCACCACCCAGAGCTCCGACCCCAACGGAGGCGGCGGCGGCTGGGTCTCCGACTGGGACAGGACCGAGGAGTACGTCCAGCCGGCCGGGACCAACAGCTACGCTTACCCAGGGTTCACATAGAAGCAGCCAGAGAAACACAAACGGCTCAGCAGCAACGAGGAAACCTGAAGGAACCAAAACAGCAACCGGGCTTTTCAGGAAGCCTGACCTTTGAACTTTAAAGACATTTAAAGTGAGGATGGTAGTTAAATGTGTGCAGTTAGGAAGCCTTTTTGCAAACTTTGACTGGAATCAGGCTTGTTGTTAAGATGAGGCGTCCATGTTTAAGTCTGTTTTCCATCATGACTCGGTTTTTATTGGTTTGATGCTCATTTAAATTTGAGTTATTGTAGCTTGGATGTTTATCCACTGAAACATCACAGACACACAGATCAGTGTTGATCTAAGGGCGTGGGCTGATTTTCCTGGATAACTGAATATAAATAATGGTTAAAAACATGAGTGTAGAGGCAAGACTTTTGTTACACCTTGGAAAATGTAGCAATCCTCACAATGTTGCACAGAAACTCACATCACCATGAACAGCAAGAGAGTTTAATTTATCTAACATGCATTTTTCAGTCTGGAAGGAAGCCAGGATCAGTCGACGTGTCCAAAGGGAGAAAATGGAAACTGGTCATAACACATCAGATGGGACTCTTTAGGAAATGATGAAGACGACGGCGCCTTCATTTCGGTTTCTCCCTTTTTCTTATTGATACCAACATTTTGGGTTTTTTTTCTCTACATGAAAATTCGTCCCACGGCTCCATTTCATACCTGAAGTATTTCAAAACAAAACAACTGAAACCGACAAACTTTATGACCGATTCTTTGGTCAGATTGTTATTGTTGTGCTAAGCTAGCTTTGGCTAATTAGCAGGTGAAAGGCTAACTTTAGCTTAAGTGACTGATCTCATTTTCCAAATTAAAACTAAAGTCATTATTACGCAGCGTAGGTTCTCCAACATGATTTTGCCATTTTGGGCATCAAATTAAAATGTTTTATTGGTTCAGACCAACAGTGCATCCATTTTGACCCACAGTGGGAAACTTTCAGCATACTGCGACAACTAAAGACAACCAGGTCCTAAATATTATAATATTCAGCAATAGTCTGCTGTAAGGAAATGTGATTTTTATAACAAAATATGATGATTTATTTATTTTATTTGGTCCTTTGTAACCATCAACAGGAAGTCATAAATTTATTTTTGTCTTATCATAATTTCATTTATTTTGGTTATTTAGAACAAAAGTGAATTAAATGAGAGTAAAATCTAAAATATTCAGGTAATAGTGTCCATCTGAAACCTGCTACATTATCTACACAAAAATTAAAGTAATTATACCAAAGAAAAATAAGCTAATCGTTTAGCATAGAACGGTTTGTTAAAGCTAACGACGCCTAAAATGACTTTAGCTGACAGTTAAGTTTGGATTATAAAGTTAATAACACTGTATGAAATGTAGTTTGTTGTATTTACTTTAAGACCAGTTCTTCAGTCAGTGTCTGAATGTTTAGCATAGCTAGCATTAGCTTGTGCTAACTACTTAGCAGCTAACAAGCTAACGTTAGCATAAGTGAAAAAAGTTGTTCTGTGATTATTACTGTGACATTATCATTATTACACTGCAAAATATTTTCTTTCATCCAGAATACGAGGTTCGTCGAGGTCTGATCTGGTTGTTGGTCTGTAGTTCAAAATGGCCGTCTTGTAGTTTATCCTGTAACTCAGTAAACTGGGTTATTGCTCTGACCTGGTGTTTGGATTAAAGACGTAGCCCAGCAGGTTTCTGTGTGAACATTTCTCTTAGGTGAAAATTTGACTAAGTCTAAAGTTTTTTTTCAACCAGCAGAAAGTTTTTGCAAAATATAGTGTTAATCTTTTATCCTTTAAGAAAAGCATTGTGCCAATACAACAAAATAATGATGTATTCTGTAGTATTGGTTTATGAGGAAGTCAACAGTTGCAGATCTGTTCTGTGTGTAGAGATATAGATGAAAATTATTTTGTAAAATGAACAGAAAATACAAAAGTTGTTGACCTTTTTGCCTATTGAAGGAAAGTTATTACGCAAAATAACATCTTCATAAATTAGTGTCTGAGTTTAGGTCCTTCATAATTCCGTTTTCATTCAAATCCATCATTTTAATTTCTGATAAATTTGTTTTATATGTGATTTGTTTGTTATTTATGTTAATTTATTGTTCACCAGCTTCGTCTGGCGTTAGCATAGATCTAAATATGAACCAGGAAAAGCACAAACGGCATCAGCACATTAAGTCTTATATCACTCTGACGGACTCTTAAATAAACGAGCCGATAAATCAATTAACTGGTGTATTGTACAAATGCACATAGTTTTATTTTTAGTGGCATGTTCTCATATATTCATATACTTAGATCCCAGAATAAATCTAAAAATAAAGAAATGCCACAGGATGGTACTGAGTGGTGTAAAAGCAAAAACAAGTTAGTTTTTGACTTTTCATTGATTTGTCTCAACTGATTTATTTGTGAAACTGAACTGTTTAAAAAAATCCTGTACATGTGGAAATGTTGTATAATAAAACATAGGGGTGTTGATTTTTGTGCAGTTATCGGATATTTTTGTTGTTTTTTGCTGAAGCTGTTTTTCTTTAAATAGATGTCCATCGCCACGGTTACTGATCTAAAGTGCAAGAAGAGGAAATCAAGTAAATGGGGAAGAGAAACTAAGAAATGACAAAGAAGGAAAATGGCTATTGATCGTATGAAGACCATTTGTTTTTTAACTGACTTCAGCATTAATGAGAAACTGGTTTCACTTTACCAATCCTGAGGTTTTAAGTATGTGTGGCTGCACACTACTGGTCAGCTGGCCTAAAGCCCCATTCATTTTTGTTACTAATATTGTTGGGAAAACCAACACATGGAGCTGGGGAGCTAGGAGAGCTGTTAGCTGCTACCTGGAGGGTAGCTACATGAACAGATGGCCTGACTAACATGCTAACGTCAGCTAGTTATACTCTAATGATCAGAATAGCAAGAAAACACTTGAAATATTAAATATTTTGCTTAGATGTATGCATCAAAAATCAAAACAACATTGTTGAAATATGTAGTTATGTCAGAAACAGGATTCATTGGTGCTTTTCTGTTTTAAAAATAATCCTGTGTATTAACAGTAAGACACAAAACATTAGATTTTCAACAGTTATGTCACTACACAGTGAGGTATATTTTCCAAAAATAAAACAACCCAAGCTTTTAAAAGGACGGCGTCACAGTTTTATTTTGATATTTCAGTTTTTTCTTATTACCTGAAAATGTGGATTTTGAAAAGAACAGTCTGCTCTTAATGTAGCTTTAATTAAAATGCAGTTGGTGAATAAAATGGTGTGAACTTAAATTAAACTATATTGAACTGAAAATATGATGAAGCGATTATTGAACTGGGCCTGAAACAGGAAGAAAACAGCTGCGCTTTCATATCTTGCTTTTTGCATGCAGGTTTAATCTTGGGTGTGTTTCACAAAATGCAAATACAAAATGCAACCAAATGGCTTTTTATGCATTACTTTCATTTATGTTGCTTCTATCTTAATCTGTTGCTCTCAATGCTGAAGATTTTAAACAGGAAATAAAGATGAACATGGAAACTATAGAAATGAGTGAGGTTATATATTATCATTAGACTGCATCTTGGCTCTTATTCTAGGAGTTCTAGCTCTAAGTTATTTATACTCTGGACAAATTCAGATTTGAAGTCACTTTAATTTAACCACTAACTTTGTTTCCAAAGGAAAATTAGGCAGACAACTGTTAAAAATAATAAAACTCTGTGAAAGGAAGTAATGTGTTTGGATTTTTGACAGCAACTATTTATACTTTGCTCAATAATTAAACCACTGATTTTTTGTGTCATCTTAATCAAATCAAACTTCAAATTGCAGAGAACCATAGTTGCATATTTCCTCCCAAACTCATCCTGAAAAAGTCTTAAATTCAGTTAATAATAATAATAATAATAATTTGTCTTGAAATACCTTAATAGCAAGTTTTAAATTTTGTGGTCGGAAAACCATTTAATCTCAAATATTCTATTGATTTATTTTTTTATTCAAGAGAAGGGAACTGGTACGCAATTTACAGGACAAAAAATTACAGCTGGTCAAAATTTCCACTTCTGAATCTTATTGTTTTTTGCTAAGGTACCGACATTTTTTTCCTCTTGTATTATTATTATTTTAATTATTTTGTTTAGCGTCCTAATTTAATGCCACACTAAACGTTGCTTGTCAACTGCCATAAAAACTAAGAGTATTCTATTTTTTTCTCGCGAGACTTTTCTGTCCGCAATAGTTTTTTTTTTTTTTTTTTTTTTTGAGTCGCGCGCAAACACGTCTTCATTGCGTCCTGACTCTTGGCGGTTGATGCCATAGACATAATATAAATATGGTTGATGCTACCCCTAGCTAGCTGCTACGATACCGCTGGCTAGCTGCTACTATACCGCTAGCTAGCTGCTACGATACCGCTGGCTAGCATCTGTCATCTTGGGTAAGTGCTGATTTATCGCCGTTTGGGTGGAAGAGCAACACAAACTCTGAAGCTGGAGGTTTAGTGAATTTTAAATAAAAGCACCAATTTGACCGAGGAAAGAATTTTATTTCAACAAATATGTTACTAAGGAGGCAAATACAGACAAGAAGGAAGAGAAAATGAACATGTATTACGGTACTAAGAAAATGGAGACCCACATGAGAACAAATAGGAAAAAGATTTAAAGAAACAGTAAAAAATGTCTTCAACTAAAGTAAGAATGTGACAGTAACTATTTATTTCACATGTAGCACCATTTCTCCCTCAATAGCTATTGAAGTAAATTACTAATTAGCAATTTTCTAAAGATTAATTTTAAAGTTATTATTTTTTAAATCAAAGTTCTTTGAATTTGAGGCTCTTTCTTTAAGAGACAGACTAAACTCTTCTGGTAATTTCTACATGTTCCTGTTTTTTCAGAAATTGTGTAAGAAACTTCAGTTTAGTCTATGATAGTAACGGAATCAGATAAAAAAAAATGATTTTGAAAGTGTAGAGTTAATTTAAAAATGTAATAATTTCCTAAAGCCTAAAGGGTGAAGGCCTCATTTGTACTGAAATATTTGTGTTTTTGTTTGTAATAAATGCTCAAAATGACCAAAGTTTCAGCTGGTTGGACATTAAAACAATACATCAAATGGCTTATTACTATCGTCATTTATTATCACTCTGTAGTAAAACACAACTGGACCAAAAAGTGATTTATTCAACTTTTATTTGAGCAGATTTGAACAAAAAACAAAATACTGTATAAATGTTTACAGCTGCGTACAAAAATGTGATTTTTGCCACAAAAAAGGAATCTGTAAGATTAATACTGAAGCATGTAATATTGCATTTTATGATAGAAAAATCTGCATGGTTTACTGCTAAATGTTAATTTTCTTATTCTGAAGCTGTGCATATGTCCTGAAAATGTAATGCAAATGTTGTCAGAACTTAAAGTATGAGTTACATCAGCTTAATCTGTCTAAGCAAGATGAGAAAATAATGTTTATTACTGCAATTCAAAGTACATGAAATATGAAAGCTAGCAATAAAACATGTATGAAAATGACTGAAAAAGAAGAAAAGTGGAAACTCTGCTTCCAGACATGTTTTGTTTGTTGATTGTTTATCTCCCAAAATGAATGTTGTACTTCTATCTGTTGATATTTTAATAATTTGAATTATTTAAATAATAAACAAATAACAGGTGAACCAAAATAGTTATACATACACTCTCCATAGTTATACAATTTATATAAACTGAAATGTATTGAATGTATATTATTATTAGTAGTAGTATTTTTACATACATACGGGCACTGACTGCTTTGAAGAGGTGAGAAGTATCTCACTTTTATTGTAGTAACGTTTATATAGTAGTTTTACCTTACCGTACTTAAATAATATTTTTTAAGTAACAGTAATGGGTTAATAGTTCTGATACTCTATCCAGTAAATAAGCATCTCTCTAATTACTGACTGAATTAAAATGAAAGATACATCAGAAACACATAAATCTACAGTTTTTGTTTGGACAAGTTAATTGTTATAGTATTTTCTATATGCTGTGTCATTGGTAGGTCAAATTAATGTACAGTAAACAGTATGTATTGTCAGTAGAAGTACTTTGTTCTAACATAATATATACTTTACCTTCTATAAGTATCATTTCGATGAACTTTATATTGTGAACAAAATTATTTTTTTCCTGACCTTTAGGATTCCAGGATTTGCAGGCAACTTTTTTTTTTCTTGTCTGATGATCAATTTGAACAAATTAAATCAGATGTCTTGATCAAACCGTCACTCGGTATTGAGTCGCCTTTATACCAAACACTTTTAACGTTTTGGATGTACTTTTCACTTCTACCTGAGTGAAAATGAATCAAAGTTTAGATTTTCTGACTTGAGGATCATTTCTGGGCGGGTCTGTCCACCATTGGGTGGAAGGAGACCCATCATCCTTCTAAGCCTCTCTCTCATTTCTTCTCTTTTATCTCTTCCACTTTCTCCAGCTCTGCTTGCTTGGTTTTCAGGGTTTCATATTCATCCTTTTGGATTCCTGCTGTCTTCAGAGCTTCGTAACCTCCGTCTCCTCCGCTTTCTGCGCCCGTCCCGCCCTCCGGTTGCTTGGTTTTCAGGGTTTCATATTCATCTTTTTGGATTCCTGCTGTCTTCAGAGCTTCGTAACCTCCGTCTCCTCCGCTTTCTGTGCCCGTCCCGCCCTCCGGTTGCTTGGTTTTCAGGGTTTCATATTCATCTTTTTGGATTCCTGCTGTCTTCAGAGCTTCGTAACCCCCGTCTCCTCCCGACGCTACGTTTTCTCCCAGAGTGTGGTAAACTTCGTCTTTGCCTTCCCGTTTCGTCAGTGCTTCGTATTCGCCACCTGTCTTCTGCCTGCCCTCTACTCCAGGTTGAAGCGTGTCGTATTCACCCTCTTTCACTTGCCTCACGTTTATAGCCTCATAATTGGTATCCCCTTGCCTCATCGGGACTTGCTCGTAAATGTCCACTACAATAATAAAAGAGAGAAATGTGACGATGTGTGTTAGCAGAATTGTAAATGGCTTGTACTTCTACATTGCTTTATCAAGTCAGAACCGAGGCTGCCATGCACAAGCACCCTCTGACCACCTCCAGCAGCAGGATAAGCGCTTTGCCCAAGAATATGACCACAGAGGCGACTGGAGCAGGAATCAAACCAGCAACCCACTGATTACGGTCTGATCTCCTACCACCATCACCACCATCGTCAAAAAGTGCAAAACAAGAATGGCACTAACCTCTCTCATTTCTCTTCTTATTCCACTTATAAAATGCCATGGCAAAAATGAGCAATCCCAACAGAACGATGAAAAACAAGATCCCAATCACCGGTCCAGAAATACTGTGATTATCTGAAAAAGAAACATGGAACATCAGGATATGAAATAAGGTTGGACTGTCAACTTGGAAACAGGGCTACCGAGTTTAATTTGCAAGTGAAGTAGTACTCTGCATTCAGACCAAAAGCGATTTGAGTGTCAGAAGCGACTGGTTTACATACAATGTCTACGTGGATGTTTGTTTATGGCATGATGAGAAGTCTGGCAGCACGTCTCATGTTTGAAATGTTTAACATTTGATGGGCAACGATGCTGGAACTGAACTTTTACCAGTCAGAGAGACTCCAGTATGCTATTCCCTGGCCTGTGAGAATGCCATAGCGGTGGGATGTAACTGGTGTCCTGCCAGGAGATGTAGGCACCGTCACAGAACAGCAGGTTGTCAAACTGGGCTTTATGAGCACACAGCTAGTTGGTGAAACTCACCTGAATTCAAACATGGCGCAGAGGCGTACTTGCTTTCATTAACTAAAGCCAAGACACTCTCAATTTTTCACCCACCATTGTACAAAGAGACTGGAAGAGGAAAAAAGCCAAGAGACTCTTCCCAATGCGCATCAAGAGCAATTCTGACACTTGATATCAAGCGTCTGACATGCGAAATGCTGAACGCAGCATTAGAAGTTGTTTTCAGCGTCCATCTACGTTGTTGCTAGCTCCCCAGTGAGGAGAGTAGATATTGACTGTCACTAGAAGACACTAATTTACACCATCGTCTAGTTTGGATGATTGACCACTGATGATTAACTCGCTCAGTTCACTGAGCAGTTTACTTTTTAAAGTAAACTGCAAGCTTACAGGAAGCTTGCAGGAGGAAGCTGGTTTATAAGTAGATACTCACATCTCACAGCATTGCTGGGTAAAGTCCTCATGTTATCCATAACAGCTCTGCAGTGGTAAGTACCGTCGCCGTCTGGATGTTTGTTTTGACCGAGCATTGTCCAGGAGTCACCATTTTGCTTGTAGTACATGTATGACCCCTGTCTATCACATGATGGACAGGAGCACCCCATGGTGTCAGACAGCACCGCTCTGACGGGGCAAACTGGAACAGGCAGAACGAGTCCATTACAGCCGGGCCAAAAGTTATTCAAACCTCACAGCAGACGAGATTTACTGGCAAATATATAAATCCGTCAGCTAACTGCAATACTTAAGTGAAACAAGAACAGCTTAGTTAAAATGAATTTGACAAGCATTTTATCCAAATTTGATGTTTTGGTGTCCGTAGTTAGGAAGATACTGATGAGCTCCAGACCTGAACTCCAACATCTGCACCACTACTGACCCGAAAGCACAAAAAAAGTCAGCCTCTAGTTAGTCACAACTAAAAAAAACCCAAAGATTTTGGGGTGGTTTTTTTCTGTCAATTGGTTTTACAGTTGATTGGAGCTGATAACATGTTCACCAGCTCAGAACCAGACAAAGGAAGCCGATAAAAAGAAAGCCCAGCTAATAGCAACGGCCTTCAGTGGAGCATTGACTGCAGCTTCTGGAGAGAAGAAGGACAGCTGCTAGTCTGATTCCAGTAAAACTACTTAGCAGTGAACAGCAAACTGTAAATAGACGATATCGGTCGTACGTAGAACAATAACAATGGCATTCAGAAAGGGACGGCTGAGTTTACATACCATGGACAGGTACATCCTGAACATCAGAATCATATACATGTGGGTCCACTGTCTGGTCCTTGTATCTGTAGGTGGCTTTACACTTATATCTTTCCACCCCAGGTTCATTAACTGTAGGGATATTATACGTATCTCCCTGAACGCTCATGATGTTGGTGTTCTCTTTGTAGAAGACAGATTTAGTAACTTCCTCCGTTCCCCACACAAGACATTTCAGGGTCATTTTCTCTCCTGCTATTGCAGGGAACGGATACATTTCCAGAATCACTTCATTGTCTGAAAGACAGTTGGAACAGGATTAAACGAAAGACCAAAAATACTCCAGCATTTAAAGTTTATTATGTTTGGAAATTATTATTTTGCTCTGGTAAAATTTAATATTCACAAACTACAAGACCACAGTGAACCCCCAGTATTTGGATTGGCTAATGCCGCAAATAGCTAAAAATCTGTGAATACTGGAAAACATAGTTATAGCTGCCTATTTTATAGTTCAAAGGTCAAATATACCTTAATATGCATTGATGTTCAGTGGAAACTGTTTTAGCACTATCACAGCAGTTCATATCTGTGGCTTTCCTTAGACAGCCACAGATATCCAAGGAAAACGTAGAAACCTCCCCAAGAACCATCTTGCCTACATTCCTGGGGGGTTTTTACCAATCAGCACCAACAGCACATAAAACAGCTGAAACACTGGGTGCCTTTGAATCTTAAAACTCACCTGCTTAGAGTTGCTTATGGCTAAATTAGGGTTAGAGTGCAGGGTTTGATGTCTTCGATATTTTTAATGTTTTTATCTTTACTTTTTATCTATTTATTAATTTCTTTTTATTTCTCTTTCTCACTATCTACGTGTTAATGATGTAAAGCCCCCCGGAAAACGTCCCAGTTAAGCGACGTTTAACTAAAGTCCTACGGGGTTTAGAGTCCCAGTTGACGGCGTTTCAACTAAAAACCTAGAGGTTGGAGTCCTTGTCAAACGGTGTTTTTGACTAAAGTCCCAGAGGGTTGGAGCCCCAGTTAAACGACGTTTAACTGAAGTCCTAAAAGGGGTTTTAATGTTTTTATCTTTTTTTTTTTCCAAAATCTCTTTCTCACTGTTTATTCAATGCCACATGCTGTTTTTATTTTAATTATGTAAAGCACTTTGAAATGCCTTGCTGCTGAAATGTGCTATACAAATAAAATTTGATTGATTGATTGATTGATTGATGTCCAGTAGCTTTGCACCGCAGCATTTCAGGTTCCCAAGCAGCATTTTACTTCACAATATATTAGATATGAAAACTCTGCGACTAGGCAAATCTTCTGCAAATAATTTGGAGTTACCTTCCACAGAAAACCCTTAAATAGTGAACCATCAGTAGGCGGGGGTCCACTGTAGTTTTTACAGTTTTATATAGAGGTTGGTAGGCAAGGCTTTCTAAACTGACCAGACTAAACCAGGCTTTTTCTAAGCCATATATTAACTTGTTGGTGATGTGTCTCTAATGAGGTTAACCCTACCAGTGGTCCTGAGAACAACCTGGTTACTTCTCCTTGTATTGTTCTTTTCACACCAGTAGATGGTCTCGGGGACTTTCAGTTCTGTAGTTTCAAAGGTAAATGATGTTGGATTTTTGTTGTTCAATTTCAGTTTAATTGTTCTGGTCTTCATTCCCCGGTTGACCCTGCACCACCATCCCTCCAGTCCGTCATCGTTTGTAAGCTCCAGCAGGACTTTGGCGTTCTTGCGCATCACTGGCTGGCCTGTTGTGATGCTAAGTGATGCGATGGGAACGTATTCTGTGTTGGACACAAACACATTCATCATAACAATCAGTTAACTATTTATTTCTCATCTTTGGGAGTTTGAGCTCCGTATTTTCCATCTGTATTTTTACCAAAAACTTTTAAGTTGAAGTCATCGCTTGTTTGGCCGTTGATTGTACAATTATAGATTCCTGAGTCCTTGGAGGAAGCAGCTGCTATCTTCAGGGTGTTACTTTGGTTTTTCTTGTTGCCTTTAAACTTCCAGATTGCTGTGCTCCCATCCTGACTATCATTACAGTGCAAGTACAGCAAATCTCCAGCGAAGATCGGTGACAGGTTGGGAGTCATGTACACTAAGGATGCAGAGGATTTAAAAATCAGAGCATTATTGTCTGTAGAAATGACCTTGAGGAAGTAACATGGAGGATCTGTCAGAAAACTTGGATTACCTGTTGGTTTCTGCTCAGTTCCCACCAGGAGAGCGATCACTGCTGCATTATTGATCAAAATAAAGTTAATTTGTTTTCAGTAATCAGACACATTTCTGATCAGTTTAGAAGTATTTTCTAAACTTGTGCTGAAATTAACTTGAAAATGTTAGAATTAAAATATTCTGTTTGATAGAAAGATTCAGTAAAAAAAACCTTTTGATAATTTTTTTCATCTGCATGTCGTCTTATAACGGAAAAGGACTTCAATTATAAAACAAACTACATATTTGATTACATTACCTTTAACAAATCATATACCTAAATGCAATTATATAAATCTTTTAAAAAAAATTACTTTAACAATTGGTTTTAATTAGCCCAACAAACTAGCATTTGTTTAAAATTTTTCACATTCAGGTAATCATGTATTTAAAGTCAGAAAAATAAAATCTTTATTTAGATCTGCATTATTTATTTAAAACATCGAATTTAGAATCACAAAATGACTTAAATTTAGCTGTTGTACATCATCTCCCATACACTTTTGTGTTTGTTTTTATTTATTTTGATGTAGCTTTAGTCAGAAGGCTAAATAAAGCTACCTGCACAAAACAACAAACTGAAATGTATTTATTTGAAATGCAGTTGTATTAATGTTTTTGTGATAAACTAAAGCTTCTAAATGAAAAGATATTCTGATGTTCCATAAATCAATTAATAGATTATTAATAAGGATGCACAGATTGTTCGGCACCAGTTTCTTTAAGTGCTTGGCGTTCAGCAGATGGTTTCATGTGAAACCGTCTTTATCTGCTGATCTTATCTACCATCGCAAAGGTCTGAAAGTCGCCCACTGTCCTCTTCTGATCTTTACATTTTTGAGAGAGGACTGAAAAACAGCCACTCCCCAGGTCACGTCTGCACAAAGCTGCTGTATTTGGGCACTTTCATTTTGCACCACAAGGAAACCTAAAACTCAACGCTTCATGCTTTAAGTTGGCATGTTAGTTTGTCCTTAACTGACACCAAACCTGTTGGTAAAAGCAAATACTCCAAAGCACTTTGTTTTTGATAAGAGGCTCAGAACAGGTTTGTAGTTTGTATTTTTGAAATGTAAAAAGTTAAAGGAACTGAATTTTTTCTTCTACACTGAACAAAAATATAAAGCCTCACGTCAAATACAAGAGTTTTATGAACATTTGGGTTACGCATTATATAGAGAATCTCAAGCTATGTTCTCAGTAATTACTGATCTTCTTATCGGCATTGATAACATCGCGGTGGTTCGGCCGTTTGTAGCGGGTTGACTGTCCTTTGGACATGATACGGGTCGAGCTGAGGAGTTTGATTGTGACCCTGTTGGCTTCTCACAGGCGGCTACAGACAGTCTGAGGTGTGATGGTCAGAAGTCTCATCAGCTGTGTGTCGCTGGTCTGAGCCGATCCTCAGATACGTTGGATGTGGTGATCTGGAGTCGGTCAAACGAGGATGAGGAGGATCTGCAGTAGAGCCAGTCTGTTGGAAACCAACTCAAACGGCCGATGGTCCGATAACGGACCCCGAGCCGTGCAGCTGCTGCTCTGCTGGACGTCCTGCATCCAACGGCTCCACATAACATGTGAGGCTTTATGACTGGTGACAACATGTGACATGTTGGGGCCTTTTATTGTCCAGCTGTTCATTTTGTCTGATCACCCAGTGGACATGCCCCACAATGCACCGAGTAAAACAACAACTCACCGAGTATTAATGCTGACAGCAGTTTGGATTAAAAATTCATCTCAAATCAAGAAAAAAAATTACTTTTGTTCTATAAAATGTCAGCAAATGTTCATTTACAGTTAACTCCACATGGTAACAACATCTGACGTGGCCATTTATATTTTTGTTCAGTGTAGTTTAGTTTAGTTGTTTGGACAAAAATGCTGTGAATGTTTTATTTATATTTGATAGAACTGCCTCAAGTTCAGATAAAACAAGTTTCTATTATTTTACAGGCATCGTTCAGTGTTTTTCAATAAAATAAAATCAGAACATTAGAAAGGTATTCTCACCTTGCAACAATTAGATGTTAATTATTTTTTAAAATTGGCAAGTCGGGTTTTTTAAAGATTGGTTGACCAGAAAATGCAATAGTTTCACCCTGTGTTTTCTCTAATTCATCTCCTGCATGTCAACCATTCTTGGTTTTGCTGCACCAGGAAAACACTGAAAAAGCGAGAAACATTGCTGCTTGTATATCTGTTGGTTTGGAAATGTTTTAAGGCAAACGATGAGTCAACATTAAAACAGAACTGACTTGAACTGAAACTGAAGGCAGAAGCTTAAAAGCTTTTGTTACTCATCAAGTAAAAACGACACCAGCCAAACTAGTAAAAAGTGAATGTTTAGAGATCAGCTGGTATCGATCTGATAACGGCTTCCTGCCTTACCTGCCAGCAGCAGCAGTTTCCGTCCACCTGTCATCGTTCCAAACAAATCAGACAAGAAGTCAGCTCATCCGCTGGGCGCTGACAAATGGCCTCAGTCAAAACTGCAGAGTCAAATATTCACTCCTGTTGAGGAAGTTCAGTGGTGTTATGATGCTGGAGGGTTGGAGCAAACACTAAAATGCTGCAACAAGGAAACAGAGCACGCTTTCTGAGAAAAGACCTTGTGAGGGTTCTGACATAAACCAGACAGAGAGACGCTGAATGGAATCCAAAAATAACATTAGAATGAAACTACCAAATAAAAGAAACATTAAAGAAATGGTCAAATTAAATTGAAGAAAACCAAATTTCTGTCATAAGGTGGTGTGGTTGGTGGTGAGGAGAGAACCTGAGACCCAGGTATGAAGATGATAATGAAGGTTTAATGAAGAGATAAAGCTCAAAAAACAGTCCAAGACAGGCAGCACGGCGAGAGGCAAGCACACAGCTAGATGCCGGTAGCAACTGACTACAGAGACTGAAACAGAGCTGACGCAGACACAGGACTTAGCAGTTCAACTGCGACGACGGACAGATGCAGACCAAGACGTATGTTGACAACAATAGACAAACTTAGACAAGGACCCGATGAGGAACACAGACAACAGGTGGGTTTAAATACACACGGGGTAATTAAGGGAATGAGACACACCTGGGGAGCAATCAACGGGGAGGACAGGACAGAGACTCAGGGAAACAGGACTGAACACAGAAAACTCAAAAATAAACACGGATCGTGACAGTACCCCCTCCTTAAGGGGCGGCTACTATACGCCCAACAGAAAAGTCCAAATAAACACAAAACAACCCAACAGGGTGGGTGGAGGGGCGACGGAAGGAGGGCAAGAGTCCATAGGAAAACCGTCCAACAAAAAACTACCCAACAGGGTGGGCGGAGAAGGCAACGATGGCAGGAGGGCTAGAGTCCAGAAAAACAGTCCGAAACAAGAAAACAACCCACCAGGGTGGGCGGGGAGGCGGGGAGGCGGGTCCGGCGGGCGTCACCGGCGCAGGAACCGGAGTCCCGGAGGCGGGTCCGGCGGGCGT